TTTTAAATTGATTGATTCGTGAAAGTAATTTACAGAATTATCTTATCGGTGAATCCTTCTAGACTATTTATTCAGTAAAATATTTGTGATAATTCCAGTAAAAACATCACGTGATGCATATAGTGTCAGCATTGTTATTCTTACATTAACAACACGATGGGGAAGACAAAGGAGCTTAGCGTTGACTTGAGACAGAAAATTATTAACTTCCACAAGTCGGGAAATAGTTACAGCATTATTTCAAACCGATTAGCGTTCTCTAAGTCTAAGGTAAACTCCGTTATAAAGAAGTTCAAACAGTTTGACCCGACAAAAAATTTTCCTGCGTGTGGAAGAAAACCCAAATTTTCACTGAGAACTCCAAGAAAGCTGCCTTGTTAGGTTAATATAAACTAAAGAGTTGTTTAAATAGATATCGCACGATGTTTGGATACGATGGGTATTAACGTAAGTACTCGCAAAATACAATATTTTTTTTGTTTTTTTAATAGAAATGGGTTGTATGGAAACAGACTATGACGAACCCATCTTCACAAACCATGTTACATTGTGGCTCGGTTTAATTTTGCCAAAACGTTCTTGGACAAAGTAAATTGCTTTTGGGAGCAAGTACTACGGAGTGATGAAACAAAAATTGGGCTTTTTTGGGCATAATGATGTACAGATTTGGCGCGAAAAACTGAGGCTTTCCTACCAAAGAACACAGTGGCAACATTAATGTATGGAGACGGCTCGATGAAGTTTTGGGGTTGTTTTAGCTCAAGGGGAACTGGGAAATTAATTGCAGTAAGAGAATTAATGAAATCTGCAAACTATATCAAAACTCTACGACAATCAGCGGAAAATCTAGATCTGCAATTTACTTTTCATCAAGGTAATGAACACAAACATACGTCAAATTCAGTGTCTGCGTGGCTTCAGATAAAGTTTATAGTTCTTTCATGGCCTTCAATGAGTCTTGACTTGAATCCTATTGAAAATCTATGGCACGAATTGAAAATTCAAATAAATCGTCGGTCTCCTAAAAATCTTCAGGAATTAAAACGTGTAACCATTAAAGAATGGAAGAAAATCCCAGAAAAGACTAGTTTAAATCTCATCAAAAACTTTAGAAAACGATTGCAGCAAGTTATAAAGATGAAAGGCCATGCTATTGACTATTAATATTGTGAAAATTGTCAATTTTTTCTATTTTTCATACAGTGCGAATTATTTTGCCTTTTCCTATTTTGAATAATTCGCCTGTCAAATTTGTAGTATTTGACTTATTGTTCTGGAAATTGAGTTTTATATTCCTTTCTTTGTACTTATTAACATATAAAAAGCCTAACATCATACGAGCAGTAGATTCTTAGAAATGAATAAAAAATATTCAAATTTGGTGGGTGTACGAATAATTTCGTCGTTGTATATAGGAGAAGATTTCTAATTGGCTTGTTAAAGTCACCAGTTATCATCTAGTTCTTATTTCCTTTCGTACTATGGGAAAATAGCTTAATTGGTAAAAAGCGTTGTTTTTCGATTTTGGTGGCATAGTGCTTGTGAGTTCAATCACTGGATCGAGCAGATGGTACTTGCACTCAGTGGAAAAGGGGAGAGCGATGATTGAACGGTGATAAATAAAATAACTAGACGATATCCCTAAACATGAACTGTGGAATGAGAATAGTCTACTCCAATAGAATAAATACAGGGTTCAGCTTGGAATTCACTGTAGGTTACCCAGATCGATATGCGCCTGAGGAAGGCCGGAGGCTACAAAGGCTGAAACGCTGTGATAAAACAACAAAGATAAGGACAATAGTCGGAAGGAATATAAATAAATAAATAAATAAAACATTTCGGCAGTTGTACGCTTCGGCCTTCTTCAGGTGATTAGAATTTCGAACTTAACCCTTTATTTCCCCCAACAGGATAGATTATTCTAGTTCCGCGTGCCATGTATCTTCCGGATGTCTAAATTATCTCCTTTTATCTCAACTCTCTAAGTTTTTGTTCTCGACCGTAGTCAGTTAATGACCTCACAAAACTTTGGGTCAAGTCACGCTTTTATCCACTGCACCACGTCCAAAACTTCGTGAATATGGCAATAAATATTAGGAGAACAGTCCGAACAATGTAAATATTGCAAATAATTAAAATAGCTCATCTCAGAAAGAGGAGGCACGGTGGAGTAATGGATAGTGGCCTGAGTTCCAATTCCAGTCGAATTCATTACATTCAGTTCCCCCGGGAGAGACCGGTTTCTATAGCCTTGGATGGCAACTGGTCTACCTCAGAACGAAATGGCAACCTACTGCCGAAAAAAAAAATTGCCTCGTCAGTCATGTATCGAAAGATACGTTATCGTCTAGGCGTGTATCACACATGGCACATAACTGACTGACATACGCGACATCGCGGTAGGCAGTTATCATGTATTCTCTATAATTGTATCCCCCACTTTCAGGTCTGTAACGCTGAAGTATCAACCATGAAATGAACCTACCACCGATGTCAGCTAATTTTTGAGCTATTTTATGTTTGCTATTTCCATTTTTTTCCCAAACGACTTGGTTCTTCCGTTATGTCACTACTGTTATATAGTTATTATGTTGGCAATCTTATCGATGCTGAAATCATCTAAAGCTACCAGCATTTCTATTACGATTTCGTACTGAGGAGTAATGGATAGCGGTTCGGATTGAGAGCCGAGTTCGATTTCCAGTCGAATCCATTTTGTGCTTACGTGCTAATACCTTTGGGAAATGTATGAATCCTTTTCTTCTTCTCCACCAGCTATGCGTAAATAGCAGGGCAGACCCGGTTCTATAGTCCTAGATGGCAACTGGTCTACCGCAGAAACAAATGGCAACCTAATGCGGTGGGGCTGAGGGAAGCTTTATATCGTCTAAGCGTGTATCACGCCTGGCACATAACTGACTGACTGACATATCAGAAATATAGACAGATAAAAAAACGATGTATGAAAGGGACGTTTTTTTATACACAATAAATCTCGTATACTTACATATTTTACATTTTTTTTTTATTTCAGAGGAACAAGAAAATGTATAAATTAATTTTCATATGCTTGGGCTTTATTACAATTCTAAAAACAAAATTGAAATAAAAAAAAAATGTCGTTGGAGTATATAATCAAACTTACTTTAAAAAAAAACAAAAAAACTATGTACGCCTAAGCGATACATAGGTTTTTAACACGCCATTTTTTCTGATTGTTTTATACGGGTAGGGTACGTAAACTATACTATATTTTTGTTTTTCGTTGTTATGATTATCTCTGGATCCTTTTCCTTTGCCGTCTCAGTGAATTTCTAGGCTTCTACTAACCGGAGATGGTTATAGCCTGTCAGATTTGGCAGCATTCCAAATACTGATTGGTCAGCTGCTCTTGGCAAAGAGCGTCCATCTTGCGCGTTATTATTACCGACTGTCGCACTCGCTACTAAATTGTGGAGTGTCATTGAACATACGAGTGGAGGGGCGAGTAGAATGAGCCATATATTTCTTCACTTACCAACAACCAGGTAGAAACATCCTCATTTTTTGGTTTGTAAAGGGATCGAGTATCATGATTGCAATTGTTTACTTGATTTTATTACATAGCTTACTCTAAAATATTTCTTCAAATTTCATACAATATTGTTAGTTGCATAATTAGATCTATTTGCTTCTGTATCTGTCTATATTTCTGAGATAAGTTATTGTAATTATTTACACTATTTACATTGTTTCTGCTTATATTTGTTGCCATATTCACGACGTTTCGACCATTGTACGTTTTCCTCAGATGATTGGAGCGTTGAATCGAACTTTTTTTTCGGGATAGATTGTTCTAGTTCCACGTGCCATGCCTTTGCCGGATGTCTCAGTATTAGTTATCTCCCTTTTAACTCAACTCTCCATATTTTGCTCACCTCTGCTGTAACCAAGATTTTGCACTCACAACTATTTGAGGCATGTTAGTGGATGCAACCAACGCTTTTATCCGGTGAGCAATAAAGATGAGGACAATAATCAGAACAGGGTAAATAGTGTAAACTATTTGCTTCTATCACAAGAATAGTTTGTAGCGAAATATTTCCATTGATTGTTTGATTCGTTTTGTACGGTTCATCAGCCTCTTACAGGTCATTCAAATGCTCAAAACTGTTTTAGATTATAAGCATTGTTTTTTCGTTTGGAGATAACAGATGTTTAATGATACTAGTCTTACTAATTAACCCATAGCTGGAGGAGAAAGTGTGGCTTAATACCTTTTCCAAGTGTATTTGAGAGTGATTGATTTGTTTAACGGTTTATCAAACGTTTGCAGGACAGTTAGAGCCAGAAAACATTTTTAGATTATGAGAACTTTTTAAAATAATAATGGTTTTACTAATAAAAGTCCTGGTAATTAACCCATAGCCGAGGGAGACAAGAGGTAGATTCATACCTTTCCCAAGGGTATCAACGCGTAAGTGAATATAACTGATACAATGGAATATGCATACACCTGTGTTCCTCCTCTCTGGAATATGATTGGCTGGTATCCGTCATAAATACCGACGGACGTATAGGAGAGTCAGGAGTCAAGAGACGTAGTCTGAGAGCTAAGTCTATTACGATGCCCATTGGACTACGCCTTTGATCTACACTTCTTATTTGCGACTACGACGTGTACCAGTCGATTACTGCTACCGTATTCTACTTGGTTATAGTAGCCAAAACCACTTAGCTACTTCGTTCAAATATATCCCTTTCCGGGATATATCAATAACGAACCCGACTGAAATTGGAATTCGGCTCCTGATTTCAAGTTCCTTACCCATTACACCAGCTGAACATCCAAACTTACCGTAAATGGTATTCCCAGGGGGGTTTGAAATCTAGGTATTACCCTGGATCAACATTGCTTATACGAGTAATCGAATATAACGAACCCAACGGGGATTGGTACTCGGCTCTCCTATTTACAATTCCGAGCTATTATCCATTACACCACCCGCACATCCAAGCTTGCAGAACCCGGTATTCCCAAGCAGTCACCCATTTAGGTACTGACTAGGTTCTACGTTGCTTAACTTCGGTGATCGTACGGAAATCGGTGTTTCAACATGTAATACCATTAAGCCTGAAATAGTTCGCTAGATATCATCGATAATAATGCAATTATATACCAGTTCTCAGTAAAGATTTCGCAGTTCATTTTTAACCAAATAATAACAAGTTTTGGCAGAGTTCATTCAAGACGTGGGTAATCATAGCTCTCTACAACTTCCTATCCTTTGCGACCTTTATGGGTGTTACTCCCCTTTCCAAGACCTCTCCTTTCGTTCTGCTATCCATTCACACAAACCCGTGAAGTAAGTGGTCCGCTATATCTCTCACCCTGTGAGGGTTATTTTTTCCAGGCCTTCTTTCCTCATCCAAGACGTTTCGGCTTTCTTTTTCTGATTCTCTGCATAAATGATCTTTTTCTTAGCATTTTCTTTAAGACTTACTCGTTGTTTACTCGCCCCGTCGTTGTGTTGAAGACATCCACAGTATCCTTCTGTAGAACTAGATTTCGCTTAGCTCCGGGCATATATTCAACCGTGAGGCGATTGTCCAGCATCCACTGTCATACAAGAATTATTTATATAACATTGAATTCAGCACTCATTTCATAAGTGTTCAGTCGTTAAACATTTAATATATATCGAAAAGGAAAATAATTCAAGATGAGATTTTAACTAACAAGCCATAGATTTTAGAGACCCGTTGAACCGGGATAATGTCATCCAGTTTCGAATACAGAGAGTTGTCAGTCGGCGAAATTTGGTAACCTCGACACATGCTGTTATATTGAAGCTGTTTAACTCTTGGAGAATCTAAACCAATTACCGTTCTGCGATAATAATAAAAAAAGATCTAAATTAATAATTAACATTTTTATTTTCGAAATTAGAACAAAATAAGAAATGTTAAGCGTTTTAATGAACACACACCAAACTATTCGGGAGAGGGTGACATTTGCCAGGTTTATTGAACTGGGAGTTTAGTATCTTTCCATGGCACGGGAATATTCTTCTCGGTGAAGTCCTTAAATTCTAACATAGAATCTGCAACCGCGTGACTAACAATCGTTGTACATCTTCAGGTAGCAAGGTTTTGAATTCAGATTTTCCTTCTCTTTGATTGGTTGCCAACAACGGCTAGAGAGTCCAGTATATGCTGATATTTAACTCATAGCTGAAGTGGGCAGAACAGATTAATCCGTCCATTTCCCAACTTTTATCTGTTCTAAAATGAGTGTCATGAACTCGAACCAAATTCGAACACGGCTCGCAGTTCCTTTTTGTTTCCAGCTTCTAACCCTTTACTCTGCCTATCAATGTCTGTATGCATGTATGATTAATACCCAGATAGAAGTCGAGGCACGATAATAAGTAATCACTTCGAACAATATGCAACCTTGTAAATGTGGTTGGTATGAGCGCATTCTGTTGTCGAGGGCAGGTTTATGTAAACCATCTGAAAGGTCATACTAACAACCAAAAGCAAGCCAACTATGCCAACCTGCGTCATCGTCCTGTCGGCAATGCCTGTGTTGTTTGCAATAAGGTTTGAAGATCAGCTGAACTGGGGTGGTTCATGAAGGTAAGCAAGATATGTTTAGAGCGTGGAGATTTAATCAGCTGAAACAAGGACACAGATTTCTATATGTCATATATCCCTGATTCGTATGAAATATAATTACTGGTCTGAATAGTCATCTTAGAGGCCACGGATACCCAAACGAGACGGAAGCCATCGCAAAAGATGCGAAATGGGAGAGGCGGCTCTCATCTGAGTAAGGTAAGTGCATGAAGCCCTCCAAGCATCGTTCCCGGCTCATACGTCACATGAAAAGGCACGAGCAACCTGAAAATAGTTTGCCGCGCCTACAATAAGCATTGCAAGTTACTTCAAGAGTCATTGTCGCGCTCAAGAGAACTAAAACTCTGAATCAAACTTCTCAGCGATTGTCATACTCCTTAACGTGTCGAATCGACAGACATCAATTATGTATGTGCGCATGCATGTATTTATTTATGTATTAGAAAAATATAGAATATATAGGATTCTGTACTATCCGCGGATTCAGCCATGCACTACAGGTCTTAGAACATATACCCTGCGGATTAGACAAGGCTAATTTAATATGGTTTATTGCATGTGATTCGATAAATATAGAGCAGTATTTTAAACACGTTTGTTCTTTCATTGTTTGAAATAACTATAGTGAAATCAAAAGAACAAAATTAATGAAAATAATCATATAATAACTTAATATTTTTTTTTATTTACGACATTAATAAATAAAAGTCGACGGAATAGAATGGATATAAGTCAGAAGAACCAAATTAAAATAAAATCTCTAAAGATAGTGATAATAACAGGAATTTGTATGACACAGATATCCGTCAAAATGTCCGTATGCAATTCGTCTCCAATAACAGAACTGTCTCTCTGTATATGCACATCTAAGCCATCATCGAATCGTGACCCGGGTCAACCATAGAGACATAAACATCTTTAACTCGAACAGATCTTCGTATATATCATAAGTAAACAACTTTCAGAATGAGATATTTGTTGACCGGAAGCAAGTTAGACAAAAGGTTAAATATATGAAGTAATTTTGTAAGGTTTGAATTCGCTAGCCATACTTTTTCCCCACTACCTATACATTTTAATTGCCCGTAAATCACAGAACATAGTTTAGTTCGTGTTTAATGACATAAAAATTGGTTTATACAATTCAATTAATTTTCCGTATTTTTCCTCAAAATATAAAAGTTAAGTCAAAAGTCCCCAGGATAATATTTTTGTAAAATACTAGAGAAATGTTAGAAGTGTCGGTAGAGATTTTCAACTCTAATAAAGATCGTTGTTTACATGATTTAGAAAAGTCAGAAGCTAGAAACATCAGTACCACACCAGTTTCTCTCACGCAACCAGAGAAATATTTGAAGAAGATAATCAAACGCGGTGATAAATTGACTCATTGAAAGAATTATAAGTCAAGGTGGACAGAAATAATCCCATATACGATTCCAAGCGTAGATTAAGAATTTTTTAGTAACGTAAATTATACAAAACTATGTAATCATCATCATCATCATCATCATCATCATCATCATCATCATCATCATCGGCATCATCATCATCATCATCATCATCATCATCGGCATCATCATCATCATCATCATCATCGGCATCATCATCATCATCATCATCGGCAAAATGATAATAAGGATTATCATTCATTACCATCATTATTCTTTATAATCATCTGCATTCATCATCATCATCATCTTTCCTTATCATCATTGTAATAAGGAGTATCATTCTCATTCAACGTCACCATCATCTTTATCATCATTGTCAATCTCATTGCCATTGATTATCATCGCCATCTTAATCATCATCATTCTCTATAATCATCCTTATTATCATTCCTTATTATTATAAAGGTTGTTACCATCATTATTATCATTAGGATTACCATTATCATCATCATCATCAACAACATCATCATCATCATCATCATTAAAATTCATCATCATTATTATTCCCACCATCATCATCATCATCATCCACATTATCATCCTTATCATCATCATTTCCTTATTATTACCATTCGGATTATCATTATCATTGAGCGTCACCATCATCATCATTATTAACATCGTCATCATTACCATTCACCCTCATCATCATCGTCATACGTTATCATCATCCTCATCGTTACCCTAATCACCATCATCATCATAATATCATCATTACCATCATATTTATCATGATGAGGATGCGCTGATTGCACAGATTTTCAAAACTCGTTCGCTCCCGTCTTTATGGTAACGTCTTCAGATCGGTATCCAGTGCCTTCACATACTTGTTGGATGTATGTTGTGAATGGACCACCCATACTTCTGCTGTCCACCGTAGAATGTCACTGATTTGCTCATACTTACTTATCCAAGAATGCGCGCAAATCTTGTTCTACGCCCCAAATGATATTGGAGACGAGATGTAGAACCGTTATGAATCTGATTTGATTGTAAGATAAATTCAAAACATGTTATCTATATATGCCATCTATCTTCTCTTGTAATAGTTCTTTTTTCAATATCCATGTGGACGGATCATAGAACCAGCCAGAAAAAAATGTACACAAACGTTACCTTTTTTTCTCCAACATGAAGCCGTGATATCAAGCCGTTGCGATCACATGACCTTCTGTATGTATGAGCCGCATCCCTTCAGGACATAAACGATTATGGATCTCCACAACTTCCTATCTTAGCATTTTTTTCTTTTGCTAAGGTTATCGCCGCCCGTTCCGCCATTTATTCCCAAAAACTCGTCAAGTAAGTGGCTCGTTGCCTCTATTTCTCATGTCCTTAATATACCCCGTGACGGTTAAGTTTTCCAAGCCCTCTTTCCTCATTATGTGTCCAACGAATGTCAGTTTTCTTTTTCTGATTCTGATGAAAAATGTTCCTTCTGTCGCAATTTCTTTAAAGATTTCCCCGTTGCTTACTCGTTCCCGCGATGAAAGTTTTTAAGTATCCTTCTGTAGAACCACATTTATAAAGCCTCTAGTTTTCTCTTCATCCCTAGGGGAACTGTTCCGTCAGTATTCCACGATTATATAAGAGGATGAATAACACAGAGCAATCTAGCACTATTTCCCTTGTTTCTAACGACTTTTTTCCTCTTTCTCAGCACCTTGTCTAACTTCTGGAATGAGTCTTACGCTAATCCAATGCGTGTCCGAATTTCAGTTCCGCATTTTCAATCCTCTGTTAAAACATTCCATAGATATTTACTAATAAAATTTCGTGACAGTATTGTACTCTGAGATTTAACCAATTTTTTACTCTATTCAGAATATCTCGAAGCTGGTTTTACGATTAAGTCCACAGCGAGATCTTATACTATTTGTAATTTTTTTGTTTTGTTTTTTTTTTTTTCTGAAATGGCTGGTCGAATCGTTCGAAGCGGTTAGTGGTTTATCGCCCGTGGGTATGAGGTGCTTGAAACTAATATCAGCATAAGTTTCAATACATTTATCTATTTTGGGGAAGTAAGGTGAGGATTTCCTCAGTAATAACTAAATAATGCTGAGGACTACACTTTTTACAGTATTTGTCCATTAACGTCTACGTTTCATCAGTCTTTATACACACACTATCGTTCGGCTTAACTTTAAGTACTTTACGGAAGGACTAATATGTACCTTCGATTGTTCTTTTGTGTTGATCAACATGCGACAGTTCGGTATGCATGTTATTCGTTTATGTACCGTTTCCCTTGAGGACGTAAGCGATCGTGGCTTTCCAAAAAAATATCTTTCGTAACACGTAACTCGTAAGTAAGATTTGTCTCCTTACTATACCCCGATATTCTACTATAACTCCATGTTCTGCCAGCCATTTACACAAGCTCCTTGCTTTGTCCTGCATCTCTTTTCTTTTAATGTCTTATGAGCATCAAATTTTCCAAGCACTATTTACTCATTATGCGTCCCAGAAATTTAGAAAAATATACCCTTTTTGTTTCCATTTCATCGTTGCTCACATGCTCTGTCCGTGATATTCTCTCTATCATTCTACAAAACCATAACCTTTGTCAATCAGTATTGCTGCGTTCCCTGTCGTATCGGGATACCACACTATTAATAAAAACGTTATCACCGAAAAGGAACATTTACTTTTGGTATTCGATTTATTAACCCTGGCAGTATAGATTTTAAGAAACAGAAGTGACGTAACAAGAACACATGTTGAAGTTGGCCCCGCGTGCCTCCACGAGTGGTATTAGCCGGTTGCAAACCTGGGTGTGAGAGGCATATCGACGCTTCAGAATTATTGAGACACTCCGTTGAATTCGCGCCGTATTGAACTTCAAAACCCAGACAAAAGCAATCCATCACTGTCAGGATGCTGTGCCCACGAGTCATTCCGGCCAATCGCTGACCATTCTGGCCATGAATTTTGCATTCAGTAAGATTATTCACTGCTATATAGGAGGATTGATATTATATAGCAACTCAGCACGCTAACGAAGATTTCCTGTTTCGTAATACTTTCTGGAGCTTTTGTAATGGAGATGTAACTATTCTAATGCCCCATTGGATTTCTGTGTCACATTTTCTGTGGTTCATTAAATATTTGATATTTACCGCGCATACTCGCGTATTATGCGAATTTTGAAGACCTAATTTTGAAGTTAATTTGACAACAGTAAATGGATATATAGTTTGGTCAACAGCGTAGTATGGGTCAGTAGTACATACGCTAATTTTATATCTCGTGTATGATGCTACCCTCTTAAAATTATCTTCAAAATTAGGTCTTTAGAAGTCACATGATACGCGAGTACACACGGTAAATATTGAAATCGATTTAGCCGTCTCCAATTCTCTCTTCTTACAATTTTCTTTAGTCTTTTCTTCCCGTTTTCCTTTGCTCTCTTGTCTAAAAGTTCCTGAATTTTTGTTAACATATCGGCCAACAATTCAGATTACATTTCATAAATTAGGTTCTTTTTTTTCTTATTGTTTTCTAAGAATTACGGTCTGTAAAGCCAATAATGCTATATATGGATCGTTATTATTTTAAAGACTGACTTCGCAGTCTTCTGATCGTCAGAATGTCACTTTCTAACGTCCAATTTACATGAGCTTAAATAAGAACTGATTACACAGAGTTATCGATAGTTAATGGTAGATATCCTTAACACTCGATATGCTTTCAATAAGATTTCAAAGAAATTGAATAACGAAAAACCTTTCAGACAATATATCAACTTCGGTGAAGCGTAGCAGCTCGATGTGGCATCGATTAAGCAAGTGTTCGAAAGACCTTTGGTGCGAAGCTGTATCATGACGTCCAACTCTCCTGATAGTTGTCGATGATGCATCTTATATGCGATTATTAGACTTATCCATCACGTCCTATTTAAAAAAAAACTTAATTGTGTTCATATCGCGTGAACGTCACGAGCACACCATTCAGTGGAAGACCATCAAATCAGGTGCATTAACCTGGCCCGGAATATCCCATCGTTGTTGCGTATAACGTAACGGTTACCGATCAGTGAGGGTGTCTAGACACGTACTACGTGAACACAATTTACGCTAATATGACACCGTCACAAGTCTGCATGATGCCTTGTTTAAACTAGGACCCATGACCTCATGAGGTCAGCGGTAAACCCGAACCCTACTTTTGGCTCGAATTGTGATTTATCAAACCACCCTACACGTTGCCAGTTCAATTAGCGATGTCACGAGCCCAGGTGAGGTATCGTCAGGTTAACAGGAAGACACACGTGGATCTCCTGATTTTATATCTTATGGAGTCTAACAAAAGCTGAATTGACCTGACTGATCGTCATCTGGAACCTTCTCTATCGTGTGGGAATGTGATGTATGACAGTCTTCTTTATTTTATGTCTTATCAACCCTTTTCACGTTATTTATAGCCAGAAAATACTTTTTTAGTTTGTACGATCTTTTTTTAGATAATAATGATTTATTGATACAAGTCTTACTAATTAATCCATAGCTTGGGTAGAAGAGGTGAATTCATACCTGCCCCAACGCTATTTGCGGGTAAGTGCATATAACGAATCTAACTGGAATTGGAATAGAGCTCTCCGATTCAAAATTCGAAGGCATTAATCATTGTACCATCCGCACACCCAACCTTACAAAACCTGGTATTCCTAAGCGGTCGTTCATCTATGTACTGACCAGGCTCAACTTCGGCGAAGAGAGTCGGTGTTTCGCCGTGGTATAGATATAACTCAGTGGCTTTGTTAATTACTTCATACATTTATAGAAAACATGTTTGATCACGATAGTTAAGGTCTTTGGTCGGCCACTGTGCGGGCCACTGTTTGTAGTAATGTCTTTCATCAATTATTCCTTTCAAATAGTTAGAAAGAGAAATCGGCAAACCGAGTTCGAATTCCTATGGAATCTTTGCAAAGTTAAATTTTTGGTTTGTTCTTTTGCATTTTATCAATCTTTTGCAGGTTATTTTAATAAGAATATATTCTTAGATTATAAGAATTTTTGGAAATAATGATTTTACTGATACAGGTCTTGCTAATAAATTGGAAGCAGAAGAGATTAATGTATACCTTTTTAAGGAGATTTTCGCGAAAGGGAATATGACGAACCAGGCTGGAATTGGAAGTCGGATCTCTGAGTTCCAATTTGGAGCTTTTATTGAATTCACCAACTGTACATCCAAGCTTTACAGCACCTGATATTCGCAAGCGCTCACCCATCTACTTACTAACCAGGCTAGACGTTGCTAAACTTCGGTGATCGTTCGAGAACTGGTGTTTTAAGAACGTAAGCCTAGGTCCATCTCTTCTCTCTTGCTTAGTTTTATGGATTAAAAAGCAGGACAGTCTGGCTTTCTTAAAAGCTCAAAATTCAAAACCTGTTGAGCATGGGGTTATCAATTCCACACCGTAAATACATTTTTACAAACAAGTTAAAAAATATCGTTATTATTCAGAATTCTTCTTGTGACTTAAATCTGGCTATGCAGAGATTTAAACTGAAACCCGTTTCTAAAAAATACTTCCCATCTTCCATATTTTGGGGGAAATTTTTCATGTCTTTTCAGTTCATTGAAATATGCATGCCAAAATAGAAGAATTAAAAAAATATCTTAATTGTGTTATTTGCTTCTTTTTCACGCGGCCAAAGTAATGAATATGGAAAACTAACTTAAAAACCGCCCTATCCGGCGGCTATTCAGCTACCTCCTGCGGAGCGCTCTTAATTTGGCCTTCGGCTTGTTAAAGAGTTTGAGAGTCCCTTGGTCTTTCCATATTCTCAGCATTGGAAGATTTCTTTGCCGTTTGATCTGGGTTTTCATTGATACGATACCTTCTTTTCCTCACTGCAACCTTGAGTCCTTTGATTGCAATCTGGTCCTTTGTTGGTGGGGATTTCTTTTTATGATGTATACTGCTGCCGTATGTGATAGGCAACAATAAAATACAGAAGAACTGAAAATTCATCGCTGTATTTAAGTATTGCATTAATATTTAAGCTTAAATTTTAAAAGTTCAACGATGATTCTTCTGCCGCCATTAAATTTAAAGTCCATTTGATGTATGTAGGTCCTTACTTTCCGTACAAACAATTATTTTTATTTCATGAGTGACTTTCACTGGATTTCGCAGTTAATTTCAATTATTGTCAAGTTATAAAAATTGTTATCGTACAAAAAATTCGTCGCAAAAATCACGTAAAAAAATCGCCGAAACAAAAATCGCGGTTATGAAAACCTGGGATTCCAGAATTTCAGGAATGCGGGTCTGGATGCGGCCCGAAATGATTTTAATTTACTCACGAAATTGGCCTGATTTCAAAATGGTATATGTTGGCCGACGTCTTCTAGGAGTAAAGTTGAAAAGTGTGACTGGCACTCTGTCATTTGCATTTATTTATATAGATTACTTTTAATGAACTGTTATCGGTAAGGACTGGCACCCAATTGTTACCAAGAAAATGTATTTATATCCATTTGCAGTGCACACGGACATAAAAAAAACATGGAAAAAAACCATCAGACAAAAATCTCTTTGTGAAAAGTAAATTATCTATAAAATATCTCGATTAAAACAAATTATGGAACTATTGCTGAGTTGGTCATTTTTGTGTATATATTTTCTCTTTTTCTTCCAATCATTCTCTTAATCGTTATTAGATTTTTTTTTATTTTTTCATGTCTTTTCACTATATTGTCATTCTAAGAATAGTTTTGACCCGTTGTATAGACTTCAATTCTTACAATGAACCCACTATTATAATAATGATTGTGTTGTCGTGAGTGATAGCTAAATAAATCCTCTCAAAGAGCCAGTTGGATCCTTGTGATTCGTCACAGCTTAACTGGCATGGAGCCAATTTGGCGAACCGGTTTTATTTACTTAGGGTCCAAAAATAACAGACGTCTCGACTGTTATCTGTATAAAAAGTATCTGTTATACATTGGCCTATATTTAGTAAGTAACCAGCGCCAAATTGAGATGAGTGTGGATGGAGTGCAAATCAGTCGACGGGAATCCCGCAGCGACCACAAGGTTTTCAGGTGTGAAGAGCAAGAGGTTACACGACGCTGATATGGTGATTGTCGTTGCCCAGGAGAGTGCTAGTCGTCGATAACGGTATAACATTTAACCATTTGCCACAATCTAGCTGTGATACAGTGTGCCAACAGACCAACTGGCATTGGTCGTGAAGACTTAAGGGTACTGGATACAGATAATCGTGTCAGTCCATTTGTACTGTTTCGTTGCAGACTTTGTAGTATCAAAGCTACCTTGAATCTATTAGGGAGGAGTGTCGCGTACACGTCGTATACATTTCGAGAGAATGAAAGCGAGGTATCTCGGTAAAGCCATGTCTGTCGAAGATCGAAAGGGGAATTTATCGCCACCAAGGAGAGACGCCCGAATTCAGCTTGTCATTGAACTTGATATTGCAACTATCTTCTTTCCGTATTGTTATTTCGATTTCGACAAGGCGCTTTCCCCCAAATAGCGCTGGAAACTTCCATGTTTTCAAAGTCCTTTAGAGAGAGAAAAGTAGTTTTTCAGCAGAAAAAATAATGAATTAGACGTCAATAAGAAACAGTAGTCTAATCATGGAGTAGAACATACGGCGTCAAAGGCGATTTCCAAGCTTGAATAGTCGCCATTGATATTGACCAATTCAGACTTGGGCGAGTTAATCTCAGTTCCAATATCTATCACAGCTGATGGAATACTACGAAGGTCGTAATTTATGTCGTTAGCAAGGCTACCCGTTGAACGACCCATCATCATCGACAACGAAGTTTAGAAAAAAAAACTTGAGCGAGCTGTCGATGTCTTCGACTCCAAGCGCGAGTAAAAACGAACCCAGGAGGTCACGTTTCTAACCGCATGTGATGGAAGATATGTTGTTCGCCTGTGAGAAGCGTACGCCAGATGCGCAAGAGTATCTATTTATAGATAAAAGGCAACCTCTCGATGAGTGCCGTGGAAAGCGTGCTACATGGAAGGTTGACATGAACACTTTTCGAACTTCAAATGCTACATGTACTGAACTGGTCAAAGCACACGACGGATATTTTTTCCCGGGTGATTTTCACGTTACCTCCGCTGTGTCTTCACTAGAAATATTATTTATGTCGATGAATCGTAAGTCACTGCCCTTCTTCCTTAGAGATGTCAGGTTGACGGAAAAAAAATAGATGCCGTTCGAACAGTGAATGGTCACCGCGCAGAAATAGACTATAGTCTCGTTTGAGATAACCGGAGATACCTTCCTTTAATGGTTGATATTAGCTCCTTCAAATGTTTGTGGCTGTTACCACTTATACTCCAAAAGAGCTTGGTGCTAACATGATTTCTTCCCGATGGGGTATGTACCTGACATAGGAATGGGTCGGAGTTCTACTGGTGAAGCCGGATGTTTCACCCGTAAAGTTCGCAAAATTTCTATAGGAAGCAGGAGTTTGTGGTCGGACACGATTACATGGACTGCGGCAGAAACAGTGCCTTCAACGAGCTTCGCATTAACTCACCTACGCAGGTGTTTATCCCCGTTTGTGTTTCCAACTAAAAGTTACAGTCAAATTGTGGGCTGTAGATGAGGGTTGAAACCATAGAAAAAACTGATTTCCTTCATTACAGTCGACAGGGATTATGCCGCCATTTTCGTTTGTTCTTTTTCTTTTTTCTTTCTTAGCTTTCTTTGTTTCTCTTAAACTCTTGACTCTTTTTTTCTTATCCCTTCGTTGCACGTCTTTTTCTTTCTTTTCTCTTTCTAACTTCGCTCTTTATCTTTACTCTCTCTCTGTTTTCTTCATTTCTTTCACTCTCTCTGTTTTTCTCTCTCTTTTTGCTTCTCTCTCTCTCTCTCTCTATCTCTCTGTTTTCTTCTTTCTTTTTCTCTGTTTTTTTTTTGTTTCTTTCACTCCCTCTGTATTCTTCTTTCTCTCTCTGAATTTTCATTGTCAATAATTTAGATTTCTTTTTGTTTTTCTCATCCTTTCTTTACACGATTTCTTTCTTTGCTCTTTTTATGCCATCTCTTTTGTTATGGTCCGGTTCCTTGTACCACGGTGATAGTCCAAGGTAGAACCAATAAAGAAGAACTCGAAGAACTATGGAATAACACAGATATATTACAAACAGGAATATATACAGAGAGGTAGAAAAGTGTTAGTACGAGCAATCAGGTTTAGTAGTAATTGTCTGAACGCGACTCTGTTTCGGTCTGCCTCTGACTCGACTGACTGACTCGCTCGCTCTGAATGACTGACAGACTCCTGACGGACCTCACTCCAGACTTCAGACGGAACTCTCTGCTTCCTCTTGACGCGCAGTATTTATTACGTATGGAATAGTCCATTATGTTATTATGGGTAAGGTCCCATAACATCTTTATATATTTATCCCTTTCTCTCTCTCTCTCTCTCTCTCTCTCTCTGTGTTTTCTTTTTCACTCTATCTCTCTGTTTTATTCTTTCCCTCTCTCTTTGATTTTTCTTTCACTCTCTCTCTCTCTCTGTTTTCTTCTTTCACTCGTTCTCTCTCTCATTTTCTCTTTTCATCCTCTCTCTCTGTCTTTTATTTCCCTCTCTTTTTGTTTTCTTCTTTCTCTCTCTATTTGCTTTCGTCTTTCACTCGCTCTCCCTCTCTCTCTCTCATTTTCTCCTTTCTCTCTCTCTCTCTCTCTCTTTGTTTCCTTCTTTCAGTCTGTTTTCTTCTTTCTCTCAATGAATTTTCATTGTCGAACATTTCTTCTTACCTTTTTATTTCTTTTTGTTTTTCTCATCCCTTCTTTACACATTTTTCTTTCTTTTCAATTCCTGCCCCCGCTCTTTATTTTACTTCTCTCACTCTTTCTCTCTCTCTGTGTTTTATTCATTTTTTTTTCTCTCTCTGTTTTATTCTTTCGCTTGCAGAGTCATTCGGTGATACGTACGTTTTAACGTGATATAGCCATAAGGATTCATATTGAGGATCATCGCATATATCTGGTCTAGAACTGTCCAGGGCTCAATTGTCCAGCGTTGATAGTGTTCAAAATCGTTTACGCCGTCTGGTGGGATAGGATTCATTAGCCACTGTTAAACTTCTTTCCCACAGAGCCATTAATGTTGGTATATCGACAAATATATAGAGAGATGAGGCTTAAGTAAGGTGCACAGTTCGATGGCCGTCTTCCCCGTCCGTTCTGCGAGGCCCGCTTTGTCACTTCTGCGTTAATTTTTTGTGGGATGGCTAGTTTTATAGAAAACACTTTTTAGTCTTGTCATCTACGTCTAAAAAGTAATTAATCTTCCTTTTTCTCTCTTTCTTTTCTTCTCTATGAATTTCTATTGTATATCTTTACTTTTTTCTTTCTTTTTAAAGCCTTGAGGGATATACAAGGTGACCTCAAAATATACTCAGTTATTGACTTGAATATTTATAAACACGCATTTAATTTAATTTTTTTTATTTAATTTAAATCGTTAATCTTCATAGTAAGTCAATAAACATTTAATATTTCTTAATTATAACCATTAACCTTATTTGCCAGACATATAAACATTACATGCATTTTCATTTAATTGACTGTTCCGTTGTTTACGGTTTATCACCCATTTACACGTTATTTAAAGCCAGTAACTATTTTTAGTTTGAAAGAATATTTTGGAGTTAATAATTATTTAGTGCTTCAATTAATTATCCGTAGCTGAGTGGAGAAATGTGGATTCATACCTTTCCCAATGGTATTTTCTGGTAAGTGAATATGACGGACCTAACAAGTATCGGAACTCGGCTCTCTGAATAACATTTCCGAGCCATTATCCATTAGACCACCCATACATCCAGGCTCACAGCATCTGGTATTTCTAAGCGGCCACATATCTTGGTACTGACCAGGATCGATGTTGCTTAAATTCGGTGATTGTAAGGGAACCAATGTTTCAACTTGATATGTCCGTAAGCCTATTTTCATTCAAAGAGGGTTTATTTATTTATTTATTTTTACAATGAGGTTAACCCCATACAAGTTCCGTGAGCAACTCGTTGTAGAGGGTTACAGAGTAAGAGGTACAGTTTATGCAGAAGGTGTGGAATATAACGGTTAACTCTAGACTTAAACAATTTAAGACTGTAGGAACCAAGAAAACATCCTCTTGGGAGTCGGTTCCACAGAGCAGTGGTCCGCAGAAAGAAGCTGCTCAAAAGGAACTTACTTCTCACCAGTGAAATACGGAGGGATTGGGGTTGGTTTGCTACAATTTGTGTAACCTGGCGGATCCTAGCCGTGAAGGTAAGAAATGTAGTTCCCCTGACATCTCGTCAGTGAGAGAGGGGTCAGAGGGTGGAAAATAAATTGTCACCCACAAAGACTCAGAAAAACTTTTGAACTCTATCGAAACTGGAACGTGAAGACCGGAATATGACAGCAGTACTCCATATTAGGGCCTGATGTGACTCTTGTCGATGTAGACGATAACACGAGGTGTCAGGTATTTACTAGAGCATTACAGGGAAACGACCATTTTTTCTGCACCTTTAGCAAGTGGCCTCCGTGACGGAACATCCATTCATCGTGAATGGTGGTAGGTCAGGGTCCGATCAGGCGATGAATAAAAATATGCATTAAAATACTGTTAATCCACTGAATGATTTGATCCTCATTTATAAAACTGTTGCCAGATGCTTCTAGTGTTTATTTTGTTAATGTTAAGCAAGTACTTTTATATATAAAATATATGCTGCCTAATATTATATGTTTATAAAAAACAACTGATCCCGCAGTATGAAATTCCTGAGAAAAAAAAACTACTAAGACATATCACTATATTAATTGAACTATATACTTAGTTCATGCCATGTTAACTGAAAAACACTTGTAAAAAAGAATTCGTGGATTTACCATATTACAAAATTCATATAAAAATTCTCACTTGAAATGTTGAACCTTAGCGTTGCGACTCGCACGTTCCGAGATTGTACAACCGTCAATAAATAGCACATTCTTACAAAAAACATCTTTCGGTTTACAAACAATTATTTTGTCTTCAAGTTTTAACTTTAAAGGAAAAAATTACAGCCTGACGATGAAGAAATGAATCTTCGAAAGTACTTGCTTAACTTAAAGAAATATACACTAGAAACATCTGACAACAGTTTTATAAATGAGGAACACATCATTTAATGGATTAACAGTATTTTAATGCATGCATTATGTTCTACTAGCGAAGTGATTTCGCCATTAATTAATTGATTCTATGTATGATTATTTCTTTATATATAAAATATATGCTGCCTAATATATATATATATATATATATATATATAAATATATATAAAATTGTTGGGGTGAATGAAATGTCGAAACCGAATTGTTTAGCGTGAAACTGGATAGGGGCACGGGTGGCTGGTGGCTTCACCGTAGAATCTCCGTAAATAAGAAGCCAGCGTTCTGTCTATTTTAACATTTAATATGTCCTTTTCTATTTTAATACAGTCTTTCAAATCTTTCTCACTTATTGGTTTGCTTATTTACTTTCACTTTTCCTTTCACAATTCCCACCTTCGGGCTTTCATTTTGCAATTACGTTTTGTTCTTTCAATATTACGAATCTTCAACTCGTCCGCCATGCTGATTGTAGACATTTGAAAAGATTGTTCACGTTCCTGAGGGTATGACTTCCTAGAGATAAAATATCATAGAAACAGAAAGACTCGACGTGTTTTGGATTTTGTAAAATAATAAAATATCGCCACCAAGAAATAAAACGGCGAAATGGACGTTAACAGACAATGAAATACGAAATAAAACCATAAGATAAAAAATTTAAAAAAAACAGATAATTTAAAATGTATTTGTTACAATGCAACGTTTTTTTTCCTTTTTTTTTATCCAAAGATGTTAACACGAGTTAAGTATTGCTTCTATCTAGTAGAAAGAAAAACCATTAAATTTAATATCTTGTGAATTTTAAGAATAAAAAAAATATTCTTAGCATATCATATTTCTGCTTGTTCCATCCTTAGTTAGTTACCACTTAGGTTATTCCCTGGTAAAGCTTCTTTGTTTCCTGTCCCCAAAATTCTTGTTATAGCAAAATCGGAACGAATAAATCACAAATCCCTTTTATTTAACATCCGCCAAGTTTCTTTCTGGAGTGCGTTGAGGGTGTATACAGGAATCCCTTGATTAATGCGGCTAATGTGTACATCGGTAACTATAAAAAATCGATTTTTAATTACTGTGGTTAAACTGAAGAATGTTTTATTGCACTTATCGAGTATTATGTATGCACCAATCGAGTTTTGGTATAAAAAAGTTTAGCGCACTAATCAAAAACGTATTAATCGAATAAGCATTAATCGATAGATTTCTGTATATGTTTCTAGAAAGAGGAGGGGTTAATGCTCTCAGGTGTTTAATGTCTGCTTCTGTGAAAGAGATAACATTTATACTTAGAATTGGAATATTTTGTTAAAGTTTTAAATATATTTAATATATAAATAAATATTTAACGATGCAATAGAATTTTTCTTATTCAATCTTTAAGAGTAAAGATTCATCAGAATATTAAAAGAAGAAAACTGTGTCATTTTCACTGTGTCATTTATTATTATTATTATTATTATTATTATTAATGAAAGAACAGCATATGACTCTAGAGCAAAAATATACAAAACCCAATATGCCCATCATAACAGCATGTCTGAAAAGTGTATATCAGTCACGTGTAGCACGGCCTAATTTGTGCGATGTGGTGAGTAGTTTTCAGAAAAGCAGCGCCTAAAAGACAATACCTCAACTTCAATTCTCACCATCCATACAATGTGAAGATAGGATGCTCAATGGATCATATCTCAACTTCAATTTTCCCCATCTATACAATGTGAAGATGGGATGCTCAATGGATCATATCTCAACTTCAATTCTCACCATCCATACAATGAAGATGGGATCGTTCGATGCCTACAACACAGGGAAAACATAAAAGTGTCGGCCCACACACATACCAGCAACAAATGTTCAGCGTCAAACGTACGCTTCAGAATAACAACTACCCAACAAACGTGACAACAACGTCAGAAGGTAGAAACAGAAGAGACAAGGAAAATTACCAAAAATTGCTACGGTCTACCTTAGCTTACGTCTAGTGCTTACTGGAAACATCTCAGATCTGCGGTCCATACGGCACCGTGCACAATTTTCCGAAACAGTTCCACTCTCCAGAGAAATACCTGCTGATTAAAAAGCCTAACACAAGAAGAATAGAATAAAGAATTGCGTGTATTCGATTCCATGCTGTTGTAACAGAGAAATTACTGTTAAAAGAAGCCTCCTCCTAAAATTAAGGCTGGCGGAACGTCGAAAAGTCGTAGTGAACACTGAGATAATAAAACCGTGCATGACTGATCATGTATGAAGGAAAGAATCTGGTCATCACCCTACCACGCGTAGAATGAAATGAAAACACTGTACAAGTAAGAACACTGGAGATTGAGACGTCTAAATAAATCAGTGCATATGAGAACCTCTTTAGTAGGGGTAACACAGAAGTACATAAAATATGGGAGCCGCTAATAAGGAGATAAAGACAAATAATAGCAAGTTTTCAACCACAGCAGCAGCAATCAAAACTAAATTAAATAAGAACTAGACTATATCCCTAGACATGAACAGTGAAACGAGAACAGTCTATCCTCGTAGATAAAGTTTGGAATTTTCTCTAGGTTACCCAGATCGATACACACCTAACTGGAGGGCACGGCGGCTGCAACGTTGTGTTAAAAAAGATGAGAACAATAGGCCGAATAGCATAAATAATAAATATATCTAGTCTACAGTAAATATACTTGTGTTCTAGCTTCGAGCAAGATCGTAGATATATTTAAAGAAGTAAATATAAACGTTCTGGTAATATATATATATATATATATATATATATATATATATATATATATATATATATATATATATATATATGTGTGTGTGTGTGTGGATGTTTCTGTAGTAAATGTTTGTATTCTAGCTTCAGTCAAATTAGTAAATACATGTAAAGTACTAAATATATATATATATATATATATATATATATATATATATATATATATATATATATTTTTTTATATTTGACGTTCTTTTTTATAGATACAAATATTTAAGAAAATGATCTGTTTATAATAAACAGTATTAAATAACATTTACCGGCCTGAAAATTTCTGACATTCAGAAAATGGTAAATGTTATTTAATACTGTTTATTATAAACAGAGTATTTACTTAAATACTTGTATCTATAAAAAGAACGTTAAAAACATAAAATGTCTTTAATAAATAAATTGTCGGACTTTTGTCCATTAATATTATATATATATATATATATATATATATATATATATATATATATATATATATATATATATATATACGAGTAACAACAAAATTGTCCAAATCGTAAACCGCATAATTATCCAGCCCTACAAAATGTTTACTATCTAAGAAAAACACTAAACCAATTCAGTTTCTTTTTTCTAAGTTTTCAGATAAGACGTTTTGCCATCTTGACATCAGATTTTGCAAGAATCACTGAAAAACATTTTGAGATATTCACCTAAAAAGACAACAGTTTAAAATTATTTTGTGTCAGATCTACTGTCTTCCCAAATGAGTAATGGTGAGAGGAAAATGATCATTCAGGCCTTCAGTAATGGTACTAGAATTCATACTCGGGATTCCCTCTTCAAAGCCTATTTAAGAAACATCAAGGGAGCGACGAATAAGCTTAAAAAAGAGGGATCATTATAAAGGAAATTGGATTAGGAGATCATACCAGGAAGAAGGATCATCATTTTAACTAAAGAGATCAAAATGAGATGTTTGGCACGTCAGAAAATACTTTCTGTTATGACAGTCCAAAGAGCAATGAAAAAAGATTGAAAATGAAATCTTACGTGAACGCTGTCGGGTACTTTGTTACACCAGGACAAAAATGTAGATGATTATGATAGTTCTGTTAAGCTTAGAGAGTAATTATACATTCTTATTGCTCAGAGTTCAATAGATTTATAAAAACCTCGGAGAATTCCAGTAAGATATCTTTAATCATTTCTAATATACAACGGTTCAGAGCTCAATCTAACAATTGGACAATTTTACTTTTACATGATTTGGACAAATTTACTGTTACATTCGGTATATACCTTCCGTAGTAAATATTTTTGTTCTAGCGTAAAGCCATGGAGCAATTATATGCACTCCTTTTGGTTAAAGTTGTGATATTTAACATTTATTGCATTTAAGAAGTTTGTGCGTCTGTTTTTTTTTTTTTGTTTTTTTTTAACACTGGCCATATTTTATATTCTTGAATCCCGTTCGTCTTTAGTTCTTTCCTATACTCAGTCTTTATTCGCACTTTGACTCTCTGTAACTTCCTGTGTACTAGTAGCATTTCCACCCTGCGTGGAGTGAAATGATTAAAAAAAATCTTGTTAATGTTATTGTCTATACCTTTTTTTTTGTCCTACTCAAGGCTCCACTTAATATTGTCATAAAAGTTGATTTAGGGGAGATTTTTTTTCAGTTTCAATTCTAATTTTGGTTATATTCTTTATCAGATTTTATCAGATGACAAATCAATGGGAATGCATTTTGCTTTGTTTGTAGTGTTTAATCCCTAAAGTTTTTAGGTTTTTTTTTTTACTTTCTTCGTGACTATTAAGAAGTGGTCTCTAAATATTTTAAACCAATAGGTTTTGTGTTGTAAGTCGACTTAAATTGTGTTATACTCTAACCACTATTTATTTTTTCTTTGATTTCTATTGTATACACGTTTCCTTCACGGTCCCAACTAGAGACCTAAGGTTTGAAACCGATTCATGACATCTAATAATCAATTCTATAAAAAAAAAAGAAACAAACAAACAAAAACCCTAAGATCTTTTACATAGATAAAGTTCTTCGTGGTATGTTAGCTGTACTTGTGAGTACAATTGTCCTGGGCTACTATCTCTCCCTTTTCCAATCAATCCGAGAGCTTCAGCTAGGACTGGAATTATTGATGTCCTCATGTGCCACATGTTTGAGATTTCTATTTCAAGATACTTGTAATTTGATAGTTTTACCAGATTTCCAAAGATACATTACAATCTGCAAAGACTAGCATGTCAATAAGAAAGCACGTTCTGTTTTTGTGGTCTTTGATCACCATCCATATATATATATATATATATATATTACATTTTTCTTTCTGTGTGTATTGTAAAGTCCTATAAAATCGTTACAGGTCCTACCGCTGTAACTGGTTCTGGGTGATGTCCATTCCTGTTTCTTGCAGCTTCCTTCCCATAAAAGTGGCCTATTATTATTATTATTATTATTATTATTATTATTATTATATACTAATTAACTAAGGCGTGCGTGTAACGGAAATTAGAATCAACGAATAGAGATCAAATCCCAGCCTAGCCTGATGTATTCACTTTCGTCTCAAATCCATTTTATCTATAGGTTAAATAGTATGGTAGATTTGATTCTTTAGCCTTACATGCTACCATATAGTGAAGAGTGACGACTCTGAATTCCAAATCGTGGAGAAGCCACTGCGAAATCCTTGTCCTGTCTTTCGCAAGAAGATGACCATGCTCTAATGGAACA